TTTTAAGTGTTATCAGATTCTCTGAGTCGGTGGATTTTTACACAGTCATTCTTTCCATTATTTATATAGCCTTATCAGCATGGTGTATGAGCATCTGGAAGTGTCTTATGTCCTTCTTTTCACAGCAGCTGCTGTAGAGTGAGAATTGCTTTCATTTCCATTTTAGAGGTGGAGGCAGACAAAGAAAAACTAAGTGAATCATAGAAAGGTTGGCTACAAGTTTTCTGAGAAAGGTTCAGTGTAGATGTCTCCAGTCCCAGGCAGGTTCCTTGACAGTTAAATAGCCCTTTCCTTCTTAACACACACTTACCTTAAGTATTTTCCTGTTTAGAATATCTTAATGACGGAAGCATTTTAAAAAAGGAGAAGGAGTGAAAAATAAGTCCTCAGAACAGGTAGAAATTGATGTTGCAGTTTCCCAACTAAAAACCAGTCCTGTTTAAATAGTTGTAAACTAATTCTCTTCTAATTCTTGATAACATAAAACAGTGCATTTTATTATCCTTCCCCTGCTGTTGTGTGTATATGCTCTGTACTCCAATATTCTTCATCAGTAAATACTAAAAAATTATTTAAAAATTCCAAACTTTAGTTGTCCAGTTAAACGAACTTAAGACTGCAAATAGCTGGCTTTTTAATTCTGCTTTGCTTAATATACTGTTCTGAAAAATAACCTGCCTACCTCTGTAAATAAAACAGTCTAGGGAAAGCTACCTTAATGTTTAATTTAAAATAAAATTTTTCAAAATTTTCAAAGCCTTTTTTTGCAAGAGTTACTCTCATTAGGTAAAATAATCCTTGCTTTGGAGAGAGTACAGTTGAATTGTGGAAAGTCTTTCTAAAAATGGCTTTGCAGAGTTACTAATCAACCTGCACATGAGCTAGACCGAGGTCAGTGGCAGCTCCTTTCTAATGTACGATAGTTTCTCAGACCCTGAAATGCCACCACAAAATCCTGCTTACCCTATTGTTAATGCTGAAACTGCTTACAAATAGGATGTCTTATTTATTCCTGATGGGACAGACTGAATAGGAGTCTGACCTTGTGGCTGTTCCAAAGTGGATGTGACTGGTGGTAGTGCTGGAAGAGGGCATGTTCTGGAGCAAAACCTCAGGCTTTCTGAGTTTCTGAGTGTGGCTGCTCTCCTATAATGTGGCTAGACTTTAGAAAATAGGAAGCAGAATCGAAAGAGAAGTGAGAGGATGGGAGTAGAAAGAAATGCTTGAGTATTCTGGAAGCAAAATACAGTTTATCTAGAGAAAAGATAGCGATATGTATCTTTTATCCTAATTCCCTGATTTCATGTATGTGTTTCCTGCACTGGTGCTTTAATATCCTCTCAGTTTTATGTTGTTATTACCCTCTTTGTCATTTTGTTTTTGAGACCTGGAACAGTTCGTTGTGTGCTCGACAAATATTTCGGAAATGTGAGCAACATACACGATTGTATGTTATATACATGATATAAATAAACCTTATAATATAGAAGATCGTAAGTTAGAAACATATAATTTAAGAGGTGTAGCTTGACCACGATTTGTATCTTTCTTCCATTTAGCCTTTGGCTGTGTGACCACGGCACAGTATGCCTAAATACACTTAAATTATGCAGCATAAAAATTCTATATTTTTTTACTTAATATGTAGTTATGACAATGAAACAGTCTTTTTTAAACTGAAAAACTTGGTGAGAGTTGTTTATCTTCTAAGTATTCATTACTCCCTGGCATTTAGGCACATAGTTAAGGATGTTCTGGTGTGTATATACTGTCAAGGTTTGCAGACGTACACAGATAAGGAACTGGAGATGTAGTGGGTTATTGTAAGCACTGAAATATCCAGCTTTCCCTATTGCAACCTTTCCTTATGGCAGCCAAATTCAAGAACAGACAGGAAACAATAGAGACTTTGCTTTGCTGTCCAGAAAAATGTAGTTTTGAGGAATATGGGGAGATTCCTATGATTTCTCATTATTGCACAAAAATATTAAAATACCTTTTTGAAAATCTGTCAAAAGACTTTCTGTGAAGAAAAGCATTAATTCAGCAAAATTACTTCTAATGCAAACGTTGGTAGAATGCCAACACCAGCCAAATTTCTACAAGTTTGTTTGAAGTCATGGCGTGTTTGTAAAACCTTAAATCCTAAGTATTGTTTATTTCCCTTCCTCCTGCAGGAGCATGCTTAATAGAATTGTATTTTCAAGTGCTCTCTTCACTGTAATGAGGCTCCCATTTCTTTGAGAGACTTCTCTGTTAGACTTGTGTGAACCTTCTGGAAAAAAATGTCTTAAATTCCCTGTACCTTCATTTTCAAATATTTTAAAGAACATTCTTCTTCACCCTTGAAATACGGGTCACAAGTTTTACTTGTTAATCATAAATAGCTTATGCAAAGCTGGGCTAATCAGTTCTATTATATCCTCCCACTGATGCCACAGTCAGTTTTTCTGGAATAACCTCTTGGAAGAAGACTGTGTATTGTAGATATGTCTTTATGTGTACTTGGAAGTCTTGGCAAAGGCCATGGGTTCTAAACAATGCCTGACTTGAAATAGTGTGTGAAGGGAACAAGGTCCATGCAGCACTCAGTGTATTGGCCTGTCCGTAGTCAAAGAGTATCTTGAATCAGTTGTTCCCAGTTGACTTGTATAGAAATCTGAACTAAGTTCTTCTTGAGGTCGTTCTGGTGATTACACTAAGATGGTAGGATGTGGAAGGTAATAGCTCTAGAGTTCATTGGTTTTCACTGGAAAAGATATTATTTATAAAGAGATGCATCCAATGTTAACAGACACTTGGTTTTCTACATACACTCTTTTCCTATGGTGAGCACATGCATCTTGTTAAGTAACTTTTTTACTACTGAAATATTCATAGTTGAGTTGCTTTTTTTTTATTTTTTGTTAAGCGGGAGAAACTTTAATAGTTACAATGTGAAATGCCCTAGCAAATTTGGCTGATCTAGTTCCTTAATTATTTGAGGTTTCATTTAAAAGAAAAAAAAAAAAAAAGCCATGATCTCACAAAATGCATGCAGGAATGAGATATGAACTGGCTTTCAGTCATGTTTCTGTGTGTCCCCTCCTTTCTCCAGTTTTGAGTGAAATCATTTAGCCTCAAAGCTTTTTTTTTCTTTTTAAATTCTCTTCTTCCCCCTCTCTTTTTTTTTTCTGCCAATGTAAATTCTAAAAGTCTGTGGGTTTGTACTGTATTTTATTTTACACCCATCATTTTGCATACTGTATTTTTAGGCACATCTTCCACTAAAGTGTATTCAGTATAATGGAATGTACCTTGTGGTGGAAAACTTATTTTTTTCCCTCTTAGATGATGGGAAAGCTTAAACCTAAGAAAACTTAGTATTCCTGAAGAGTTCACTTGACGCTGGTATTTTTAAAAATCCCTTTTTTCTTTTTTAAACTGCACCAAGCTTTAGAATCATTCATATTTTTAAGTCACAAGATTAGACGTTGCATATCTGTGGGCAGTATCAAAATCGTTTATCACTGAAGTGCAATCTTTGTTAATGGGATAGGTGGCATAGTCAATAGAAAAATAAGAACTAAAGACAATTCTAAAAAAGAAAAGTTAAACTACTCCATTCTGTTAGTTTTACATTCCTTCTCTGCTCTGCATTTTTTCCTTGGATAAGTGGATAAGCATGCTAAGATCCCATAAAATAAACAGATCTCTTTATTCCTGGAATGCCAGTTAATTGTTGCTGTCCAATATTAAAGACTTGATGTGGTCATACACAGATGTACATGTAAAATGTGCGTGTGTGTAAAACTTAGTGAGCCAGTCCTTTCTCTTAGATCTTTGTCAATAGGTGTTGGAACTGCTGCAACTCCTCATGATGCTTTAAATATTGTAAGTTCAACTATTATAAGCTGAAATTTGTTTAATGAGTAGTTAACAGTGTTTGAATACAGCCTTATTCATAAAAGAAGCTAGTCATAAATGAGGTCAGTGTAAAGCTGGGAGGTTGCTAAGCATCTCTTCAGAAAGAAGCTTAAGTCTTAGAGGATAAAATCCCTAAAGGAATGTGCATTGAGTGAAATAATAAAACACCTGTAAAGGAAAAAGACGTGCTCAATTAGTCTGCTGACTGTCCATAGAATGTGCTGTTATGTAACAACTAAGTATGGTTGATGACTAAAACTAATAAATTGAAAGGGGAAAAACTAGTTGAACTAGCAGCAAATGAATTGTACTCATCACTGTGAAGAGCTCATGAAAAAATCTTGCTTATTTTACATTCCTCACCATTGCCATGGTAGTTCTGTAATGATGAGAAAGGTAAAATATAGGGTAGAATGCAGTAACAAAACTATTAGTGTTTGGTTTTAATGTCTCAAATATAATAATAGTGTGTATAGACATAGGCTAATTTGTATGTAAATACATTGCAAGTGTTTTAATGTGCCATTTAAGTGAATGTTTTCATTCCTTTTTTGAGATAAGGTGACCAGGGTATTTAAAGAGGGGAAAAAAAAAGAGGAATTTTGAAATCCGCAGTGAAAATGAGGAGGGAGGAGAAAAGCTCAGTTTGAAAAAGGTTGAGAGGACAACTCATTGAGGGACCATGAAGGAAAGAAGGATGGAGGAAATTTGTAATATAACAGCAAGAGGCCTTTAATTCTGTAAAACAATAGTTCTTAAGTTGTCAGAGGGAAGTACCTCAAACAGTAGATTATCATAATTGTCTAGAATTTGGTTTAAAAGCTTAGTAGGGCTTAGGAATTTATATGAATGCCTTCCTTTCATAAGCCAACTACATACTTGAGTATAACAATTAGCTTCTGTAGTCACTCTGCAACTAGATTTAGTTGCACCTTACTTAAGAAAGCTTGGGACTGAAGGGGCAATCTTACTCCGGAATCAGGGTTCATATATTTTGGCTTCATGCACAAAAGTTCTTACACAGTATCAAGCTTTCTCAGAAATCTCAGACATATTAAAGAGTAATCAAAGTAGTTAGTAGGTGGCTATGGATAATGCGCTTTGAAGAAAGGCAAAATGAAAAATCAGAACTGTTCAGTAGATTTCTTTGTGATCTTGGTTATGCTTAATAAACAACTGCTTTAATGGCATATCTGTATGGTGGGTAGCATTCTGAGAATATTTTAAGATATTAATGTGTAGGATCTTGTGTTCATATAGAAAACTGCTTTGTACCGACATCTGAGATAATTGCTGTTGAAGAAACTGATCTTAACAAGAAACAGCGTAACAGTGGCAAATGGCAAAAAATGGCAAAGCCTCACGCTTTCACAGGTAAGGAGCCACAGTTTCAGCTTGTGCTAATTACTTTGTTGGAGATATTTTGTTGGGACTTGCATGCGAAAAGAAAATTTAGACTCTTTTTTTAAGGGAACGGATATGTAAAAATATTACCTTACTATTTAAAGCTCTTTAAAAAAAAAAAAAAAAAAAAAAAAGGAAAGAGGGAAACCATTACTTTGAGTACACACAGTGTGTTTGATGATATAATTAAGTGCTAGCCCATCTACATTTCTTCTGGTAAATGAACATAGAGTAGGATTAACTGTTTCCTACTACTTAACTAGAAAATCAGAAAAGAGAGACTGGAAAAAACGAGTCATTTTTTTTTCTCTATCCATCAGAATATGTTGACTGCATTTTTGCCCCCCCAAAAGAAAAAATGCCCAAAAAGAGCATTGTTCTGGTTTCTTTTGTGAAAAAATGATGACTACCTGTTGTGCAAAGCAAGGAAATGCTCTCATGCCAAAGATTTCTACTGTAGAGTACTTTCTTCACGTTTGGGCCTTTGATACTCAGATGGAAAAGTAAGAGTGGTTCTTGTCCCCTTAGCCTAGTTAAGAAAGATTTGATACTTTCTTTTGCATTCTCAAGTTTCAGCCTCATAAAGTTAAATCCACTTAGGTCTGTAGGTTAAATAGGAGTTGATGCAGAAGGACTTCGTTTGTCCTCTTTAAGCTCATGGCCTTTCATATTATATATACATTGTAGATTTTATTTAATACAGTTAAAGAAATATATTAGCTCAGCTTTTGCATATCTCTATGTCTATGGTCATTTTAAGGATGATGGATCTTATTTTGTTTAAAATGAAATGATTATGCACTTGCTATAAGGTTAAAAAAGACGGAGCCAGTGCTTTCATTTCTATTTTTACTCCTGTTATTTACAGATGTCGTTCTGTTCTGACGTGGTTTGAATGTTTCTGTCATTTGCAGAAATATTTAGTAGGGGCAGTAACTACCTCCCCTTCCCAATCATTTTGAAATACATTCATCAAATCACAGGAAATGATGACATTCTCAATCTCTTCCTTCTTTTTTTTTTTGATAGTGTATTATGTGAAAAAAGCCCGAAATCACCGCTGGCGGTGTAGCGATGTGACGTTTTGGTGTGTTGATGAGCAGCTGTGCAACCAGTGGATCCAGGCACTGAAAGAATTACTTGAATTGCAGAGTAAGTTTGACTAAGTTGCTAAAATTTACAGCGTAATTTCCCAGGCATCTACATCAGTTAAAATTGTTCTGATTATATATATATATATATATATATATATATATATACTTCTGATATATATGCTACTTTGAACTCTAAAGAGCAGCTAATGCTCAGAAGGTAAGGAAACTGGGAATTGAAGTGCCTTATTCTTGTTGCCACTGTTTTGCACTTGTATAATCTTTAACCTGCACTGAGTATTTAACTTCACTCGACTGTGAGTTTGTTGTTCCTTTTTCTCGGAGGTAAATTACTCTTGCGAAGTAAGGATACACTGGAAGTTTAGCAGAGGTTTTAATGGATTTTAGCCTTGGAGGAAGTAAAGAGCAGTTATAAGCTCAGAGATTTGAGGTTCTCTAGAGATCAAAGAATTGCACAGCTTGTAAGATAAGTGCACAGCTTTTTTTTTGCATGTCTGCATCCCTAGTCCGGTCGTTCCTGTCGATAATATAACTTATGTAATAAATTATCTATTACCTACTTTGGGGACTCTCATCTACTTCTTAGCAGGCTAAAAGAAGTTTTGCAGGAGTTTTTCCTGAAAGAAACACCCTGACATACGTTAGGGGAGAGCAGGAACAAGGCAGCTATACGGAGGAAGGCAAGCTGAGGGTGAGGGACAGCACCAGCTCCTGCTGATCAAAGTGCAGAGCAGTCATGTGGACAGCAAAAGGGCACTTTGGAATCCCGAACGAGGTAAAGTAATTGAGTCCAGGGAGGCCTCAGGAGCAGCTTGAGGCAGGAATCTGGCCTTTCCTGATTTACTTTACATGTCTTCATAAGCTTAAAATAACATCAATCTCAGTTTGAGTGCAGATGTTCATTCTCTTGGTATTAAGCTGTTTTGGAAAAGGTATATCAGGTGCCTTTGGAAAAGGAGGATGGTGTTAGGGTGTGTGACAGCCTTAAACCATTCTAGACAGCATAGCATGGGTGGATTTTTTTATACAAGTGTGCTGATCTAAACTCGGTTTATGTTCTTTTATAATAATACAGAATGCTACCTGAGGAGATGCAAATCTTACAGCACATATTTCTCTACTGCACAAAAAAGGGAGGCTCTTTAATTCTAGCAAGCATTACTTTTCCAACTGCTTGTCAGTATGGGAATACAGCTGGTTTGATTGACACTGCTGATGCAAATCCAGAGCTGTTTGAACAAAGTTGATAATAATATCAAAGGTCTTTTCTTGGGGCGGGGGGAGCATGAGATGAGATGCACAGGGCAAGCTGTTGCTGTTTAGCTTGTAGGTCTGTGAGGTATTTTATTGCTGCTTTATCATTTGAGGGAACCATATTTAACTTACATAACAGAAGCAGGATTAAGTAACCCTTTTGAAAAGTGTACCTGAAACACATGTGCCTTTCTTTTGCTGCCCTTGTGTTGTCTTTCATTTTGTATGACTGTGATACTAATTTTTACCTAGGGAAAAGCACTGGGAAAATAGTATGTGCAAGAATGTGAAAATAGCCACCACATGAAGTCAGATCAAAGGTGTATATTGGCAAGTACTTTGGCCAGTGGCAGCTTAAGAAAGAGCAGGCAAAGGCTTCCTCTGGCACAAAAGTCCAACTTCCAGGAATCTTTCCTAAAGACTTGCTGAGCCTGAGATTGAATCATGTTGTTTTTTTTTGTTTTTTTTTTTTTAATGCTTGAATTTGCTTGTTTCAGTAGGATTTGGGGGCTGATCTAACTTGTAAAATTACTACATTAGAAGGTAGAATTCCACATTTTAGTGATGTCTTATTATATGCTTATTGTTTGTCTTAAATTTTCTATCTGATGATATTATTTGGTGTTTCTGGTTCTGCTGGTGTGAGGCAGTAAGTAGTCAGTGTTACTGATTCTGACTGTCGCTTGCCTTTTCACTCAGTGCTGGGTCTTCTCTGTAAACTGAACAGCTGAAGCAGATTGCTTTAACTTTTAAATAAAGAGCATTAAAAGAGTTAAAGAATATAACAACTTTGTGTGCTGTGTTCACTTTGATCTTTTTCACCTTTCTTTTTATATACCTTTTTAAATTCTTTTTTTGTTATGTAGAGAAGCAATATATTGCACTTTTATTTCCCTTTGGCAGAAGCTAGACCAAAGCACTTGCTTGTATATATTAATCCATATGGAGGGAAACGACAAGGGAAGAGGATTTATGAACAGAAGGTTGCTCCACTATTCAGTCTGGCTTCTATCTCCACTGATGTTTTTGGTGAGTAATGAGTGTTTTAGTTTCTTAATAAATATTATATGAATTCTTTGAAACATCTCCACGTAGCTTAAGCTATTGCTGTTATTTAGCTGTACCTACCAAGTGGATGAAAGATGTGTGTGTGCATGAGAGAGAGAGAGAGAGAGAAAGAGAGAATTTTAATGGGTAGTCAGGAGAATTAAGATTATGCATCAATTGTCTCTATATTAAATTTTATATCTGGTTATTTCTGAGCTATTTATTTATTTTTTTACAAAACACTGTTTTTTCATATTTTTAAATATACTGTTTAAATATAAAGATAGCATGTCACAGAATCACAGAATGGTTAAGTTTGGAAGGGACCACTAGAGATCAGCTAGTCCAGTAGGGACACCCAGAGCACGGGGCACAGGGCGGCATCCAGGCGCCTTTGGAAGATCTCCAGAGAAGGGGAGACTCCACAGCCTCCCTGGGCAGCCTGTGCCAGGGCTCTGGCACCTTCACAGTAAAGCAGTTCTTCCTCACATGCAGATGGAGCTGCCTGGGTTTCCACTTGTACACATTACTTGTACCTAAACAATTAAAAGCAGATTTTAATTTGCACTTTTTAAAATGAAATATTTCTACCATGTTTGTGGTGGTACTTGCCTCATTAAGTTCTTTCTTTGGCATAAAATAATTTGAAACAAATCTTACAGACAAGCTGATAAGGTCACATTGTAATAGAACCATGGTTATTATTGAATACTGTTCTCTGTGAACTGTTTAAGTAAAATTGTTTTACTTGTGTATTTCTTCATAGTAACTGAACGTGCTAACCATGCTAAGGACAACTTATTTGAAGTTAATATTAATAAATACGATGGGTAAGTAATTTAATTTGCTTTTTTTTTTTCAATTTCTCTTCTAGCTGATGTGTTGTGGCCTGTTATATTCTGTCTCCCTTGTCACCTTTATTGAATAGCACATTCATTGCAACAGACAAATTGCAACAACAAAAGTTTTGGAGTGTGTTCCTTTCTGTAGGAAGAGCTGCTCATTTAGCAGCATCAGGGAAACTTGACTGTTTTAGTAAACTGGTTTAACATATAATATATTTAAGTGTAATATAATGGTATTTTCTTTTTTCTTTGTTTCTTCGCACAAATCTCATGTTCGGGTTTTTTTGCTCCATCAGAAGTTGAGCATTCTAATATCATGTCACAGACAAAGATATTTGCAAATAAACTCTTGTAATTACAATATGTTAAGGTAGTGTATTGTTTTGCTTGCAGACAGATACTTTTAATACTAGAAAGCTGCAAAAATCAAATGTTTCATGTGTTTTACAAGTGCTTATGCTAGACATGCATATCTGTATGTATGGTTTTAATCAAGTAGGGGCATGATGCTGACAAATTGTGCTAGGAAATAACTGCATGCACAGATTGAGTCCCTAGACGACTTCTGCTTTAAAATGATTTATGCACATAGTTTTGGCTATACTGGGATTATTTTAGTTTCGCACAAGTGCGAGGAAAGGAAACTGGGGTCCTAAAAGAACTATTTATTTTCCTTTAATGACCCGTGTGTGATTCGATCCTGTCAGTATTAGGATAACACTGAAACTTGATGAAATCCCATTACAGAACTGAAGAGGGAAGAAAGCAAGTCAATGTCCGGAATAGTCTATGCTCTAAGGAGGTGCCCAAAGTGGTAATGAATCTGGCCTGCAAGGTTCCTCAGGGATTGTCAAAGCAAGGTGCTCTCATGTGAAATACAGGAGGAATACATAGCTGAACATTTTGATGTAGGTGGGAGGGTTTTAGCTGCACTATAATGTTTCAGTACCTACTGGGCTAAAACTATAAAACTGAAGTATTCAGTTAGCAGTTGAGCATGTAATTTCTAAAATTTTATATTGACGTAAATTATATCTTTCATCATAATATGTGCATATCTGTTTTCTCATTAAGTCCATGTACTGTTTACTCAGAGAACTAAAATCGAATATTTCTCAGGAAGTACAGAAAAATCATTAACAAAACTTTTGGCTTTTTAAGCTATATAATTTTAGGGAAGAGCTGTAATATATAGGAAATGTTATAACATAAAATAGGAGGAGGAGAAGAGAGAATCCTTGCCTCTTTAGGAGAAAGCAAAACAAACATCTGTTTCATGTATGGGAAGTCTTTTAGAGTGAGCAATTTACTGTTACTATCTGCCTAAAAAACAGGATCCTAGTCCACTTAAAAAAAAAAAAATGTTAAAAGCACCTTGGTAAAGCCTCTCTTACGGTATTGCTCCACTAAGACTTGAAGCCTTGCCCATTGGCCATATGATATTTGCAATTGATTTGGACATACTAATATTGTGTATGTGAGTATCTGTCAGCACTTACCCTCGGTAGGCATAGTTATCCATTTCATCTGTCATCTCTGAATCTGGATGTACTATTTGTTAAGAAGAGAATAGTATTGATTTTTGAATTTCAAACCAGATTGATACAAGATTGCTCTTAAATTGAGGCAGAAATTTATGCCCATTTAACATCTTTGTTAGAGTCTGCGCAGAAACATGAAATAAGCTGCTCAAGATGAGGAATAATGTAGCCTAAGCTTTGAAAAAAGAGCTTCATTATAAAAATGAATAGCAGACTCTCCCCATCTCTTAGCCCTGGGCTAAGGGATGAGCAGTATATAAGACTATCCTCACCGTTCGTTAAACAAACGGCTGTTTTTTTTCACAGTTCCTTTATGCTGAATATAAAAGATAGCTAAATTTAAATGAGCAGTGCTTAAAAGATTAAATCAACTGACTTGTCCTATGGAACAAGTGCTCATTCAGCAATATATCCTGCTGACTGTGTGAAAGAGTAGGTGTTAGATTACGCATTGGAAAAGATTGCTAAACAGTAAATTTTCCTAATCACGTATGCTAGCTCTGTAGGCCTAACTTCATATTTGTCATGTGTTCCTTCAGAAGGTATTTGAACTAGTTTTTCAGTTAAAGATATTACACATGAAAATAGTCCTTACATTGCGCTGTAAAATAATCTTCTACTTCTTAGTATTTGCTTGGCTGTGGACTCTCTGCTGAACTTTAGCATATTGAGAATCTGTGTAGCTGTTGCACCAGCTTTGACTGTAATTTGGCAAAGCAGAGTTTTTGCTGCTGGTGACATGTAGAACTTGGTGTTTCATTTTGAATGGCTGTGTAAGTCCCCTGGCTTCCGTCTGCTTTGTGGGCTGCTGAAGTTCAGCATGTTCAGAGGAGCACGAAGGCTTGCACGTGTCCAGTTCTGGCTTTCCCATGGCTAACATCCCTGTTAAATGGGTAGTACCGAGTATCACGCTTCTGCCTGGAGCTACAAGTATTAGGTGAACTTTGCTTTTTCTAGTAGACCTACCATATTTACATTTTTACATACAATATATATTTCTGAAGCCATCTGTACGGTCCTGTTCTGTGTTTTCCTTGTATAGTGGGTTTCCACTGATACTTATCATCTGCATATAGCGAAAGAGTATACAGATACATATATTCTTTTTTTCCATTCCAGCATTTTTCTAACATTGCAGAAGTGTCCAGGTATATTTGCAGTTGAGTAGCTTGAAATTGTTTTTTCCCCTTTTTGTTTAGCTCCGAGTTGCCTGTGTGCTGTTATGATCTATGAAGCTGGAGCTTTTCTTGGTGTGCAGTGCCTGCCCTACGGAGAACTTCGCTGTGCTGTTTATTGACTGTTTGTGTGCACTCTAATTTGTGTTTCCTGGCAGTGTTGTCTGTGTTGGTGGGGACGGCATGTTCAGTGAAGTGATGCATGGTCTCATTGGAAGAATGCAGAAGGACTCTGGCATAGACCAAAATAATCCCAAAGCACCGTTAGTCCAGTGCAATATAAGGATTGGCATAATTCCTGCTGGTAAGAAAGGGTTGACTTTTTGGGTTACTTTATTCATTTTAACTTTTTGATAGTAGGCCTAAATATAAAATGTGAGCAAGATTTGTCCATAAAGATGCCTGATTAAAACTACTGGTAACCCAGTGTAGTTATTGATCACATGCAATCATATTTGGAAAGGATGCTAGAAGGAAACAATTCAGAATGCAATTTTAGAATTTTTAATAATGAAGTAGTTAGTTGCTTCTTCCTTGCTTTTATGTGTTGTTTTATATAAGTGAAAAGTAAGATATTTACAGAAATACTTTAGCTTATCTGAAAATGTTAATGGTAGGGATGCTTAGCTGATAAACATTTTTCTGATTCGTAGTTGCCTGTCTCCTCAAAGCCTGTGAACTCATATACATGCTAAAACTTCCCCTAAACCCCAGTTGTTATTGCAAGAAGCATAGAGCAACTGCAGGTGAGGAACAGGCCTCAGGTGGCAGAGTTGATACAACTGCTTTCAAAGGTGCTGCACCTTCTCACTTTTACAGGACAGCCACCTTTTCAGGCAATCCTCACTACTGCTATTTAGAAGTGTTTGAGACTTCCAAATTCAGTATTAAAAACACACACCACAGCGTGCACAGCTTATCAGTCCCCACAGTCTTTGGATCAGCCGTGCAGTTAAGTTGAATGGCCCAAATGGTGCCTCACCCATGTAAAAAGCCTGATTCCTGTCCTTCCCTTAAAAGTGTATTTATAAGCTGAGTTCCTCTCTCAAAATTGAATTCAAAGGTACTGCTTTCTAATAGTATCTACTGTTTTTGAAGTCTGAATGAAGACAAGTAGACTAGTCAGTGTCTCTTAGACTGTTTTGTGTTTTTACTTCAGTGGATGGTTGAGATTTGAATTACCTCAACCTCTGATATGAAGTAAATCTTGTGACTTGCTGACTAAAACAGCATTTGACAAAATTGAGAGCATTTGACACAGATTACAAGAATATATCATGTTGATATAAAATATTTATAGCCTTAAGATTTAGGTGACTGATTTTATGTTTCTTATATCTTTGAGAAGAATACCCAAATCCCATACCCAAATCATCTGAGTTGTTGCTTGTAATAAGCTTAAACCTTTTCATTAGTATTATATGGTAAGTTAGATAGGCAAAAGTTGTGTTATGAATACATTTTTATATTTTCTAATTGCCTCTCATTTTTGTGGTTAGCTAGTATATAATTACTATATTGAAATATTTTCTCAATTTGTATATTAAACTTACAAAAATAAAATGGAAAGTGCCCGTGCCTTTCTTTCCTTTTCTCAGAAAAATTTCTTCAAATATGTTTTTTTTTAACATAATTTGCTTATACCTGTCTGCAGATGATATTCATGACTGTAAAGAGACATAATTAAAATTCCATAACCTCAATATTAAGAGCTGTTTCTTTGCCCCAAGAAATTGGAAGCAAATTATAAGCATCATAAAAGATTAATCTTTCCCAACAATTTCTTAATGCATCTTTTCTAATTGCAACCAAAAAGTATGAGCTTCACCGATATTTTAATATTTTTAACATGTATCAAGTCATTTTCTTCTCTTGTATACTTGACAATGTTTTGCTCTTTTGTGTTGCGTTCAGTGTAGTGAGTTGCTGCTTGAACGTGTGCTGCTTGCTGTGCTGTATGCCTGAGCTAACAGGAGGTGCAACCCTGTAACCAGTGCTATAGTAGAAATATTTTTTTCAGGTCATTCAAATCCCTCAATAAATCTTTATAGCAGCATCTAAGGAAGCTGCCCTTGAAGTTCTTCTAACTAAGCTGTTACAAAGTCCAGAGGACGGTACACATCTTCGTCTGTATGCTGTACAATATTTAAAATGGTCCTGTTTTGAAAGTATATGAAGACTCTTCTGGAAATAGGATTTTGGTGTATTCATCAAAAAAGAGAATTTACGCACTGAATAATTCTTGTGCTTTTTAATACCTCATGTGTCTCTGTCACCTGCACCTGAAATCATGTCTGAAACGACCAAACTAGTATATTGGAGGGTGGTGGGGAAGGCAGCATGATTTTTTTTCCAGCTGCTAGCGCTTGCCTGGCTGCCATGTCATCATTACCTTTTCTGTCATTACGTGTTTCACTTGATTTGATTGAGTTCAGACCATATTTTAATCCCAAGGGATACTCAGGTGGCTTGTTCCAAAGGAAGTCAAATTCTTAAAAAGAATTGAATTTTTTCTGAAGCTTTTCACTACCAATTTGAAAAATACAACAAGTATAGAAAAAAAGAATAATGCAGTACAGATCGTGCATAAAGGATTTTTTTGAAAGCAACTTTTTAGTTCAGTAATATAATAAAAAGTTCTATTAAAATCCTGAAAACATGCAGATGGAGACTCTAAGTAAACATTACCCAGGCTTCAGAGGCTTGGTTCTAAAGCTCTATGTGTAGTTTTGTCTTCTGATAGATGCAGACAGTTAACCTCGTGAGGACACGAGCCTGGGGTAGCGTAACACCTCAGTCTTAGGGACTTCAGCCTGTTCATCATTTAGTCCCTAACTTCGAGCTATACTAGCAGGAACAGCAAATTGCTGTACTAATGTTGCTGTGATTAAACTCCATTTTCCTGTTTGAGTTCAAGTGTGGGCCTTCCTGAGATCAGTCTTTTGTTTTATTTTGTTTTTCCACTTGCTACCCTAGTTTTGCTCACACTTTCCTCTAGTCTTTTTTTCCTTGCTGAGCTCACTCTAGCTTGCCCCTCCAAGAAGCCCTCTAAATGGGTGTCTCGCAGAGACACCAGGTGCTGTCATCTTAAACACATCTTGTGGATTTCTTCTATTCAAATAGTCACTTTTCACTACTAAAGTTCTATATTAGTTATAGCCATTCTTCAAATATGCCAGTATAAATTGAGATTGGTGTTGTAAACAGATTTATTTCAAAGAGTACTTGGAGACTCTAGCAACTCAGACAATTTTTGCACTGTAATTTGGAAGTTAAAAGTCAGTGCACCTACAAAAGCTTCCTGCTTATGCCATCTAGCCATAGCACACATCCAGCTGTGGCCTTACTGCATTCAGAGTGATAGTATACTGCCTTGGAATTTGAAAAAGAATTTTTTTTTCCCTCTGGTTTTAACATGTGACACTGAAATTTCACTTTGATGCTTTAGTATTAGTATTAAAATTGTAGCCTTTGGAGTAAACAACTCATTCTTCTTATTAAACCTGGCATAGAACAGCTGGACAAATCTGTCACTGCTGTTGGAGGCTCCTTTACTAAAAGAGAGCTGATTATTATTATTAAATGTCTTTGACCTCAGTACCTGGAAAAAAAAAAATACCACAGTGCTCTGTGCTATGGAGTAATATTAACACAGTCCTTCTGTTTCCAAATTCCAGCTCTGCCAGTTTCTCCTGGGAATAAGGGAAAAATCTTCCAAGCACTAGGGAAGATTGAATTAAATGCAGAGAAGAAGTGTTAATTGCTACAGTAATTTAGACTTGCAGTGTTTCCAACACCCTCCCACTGTATAATCTTTTGTTGCAGTCATGGATCTGATTTCTGTAGTGTGAAGTATTGAAACATGCATTGTGATTTATAATCAGAATGTTGACATGTGTTTGTAAAAGCTGAGAATAGTGAAGATGACACCATCAACTTAATATGCGAAGGCTAGATAGAAAAATGGTTGGGCATTCATTAGCATGTTTCAAAACCTGAAAGAAATGAGATTATGAATCATGCCTCAACTCCTATTCTAGCTTTCTTGAGGCTATAGAATTTCCTTTGGGAAATGTGTTAAAGCAGGCTGTAAACAGCTGTTTTTAAGACTAAATGATGTTTCCACAACCTTTCTTGTCACAAAGCTTGTAATATGTAATGGTCTGTATATTTTAATTATGGTTTCAAGATTGTCCAGTGTGTGTCCAATTTCAGTTTCTAGATCCAATATTTTGTTCCTCCTTCAGCACTTAAGTCAATTATACTTTTAGAAAGGGAAGTAAAATAAACAGCCCAAAGTCCTTCTGAACTGTCTCTTTTGAAGCAAATCATCATTGCACACATGATGAATTGTTTTCTTGATTTCTGGATGCTAAAAGGAAGATGTATAAAACTTTTGAGTAGAAGCACAACTATATGTAGTGGCCATTTATCTCGTTCACCCAAAATAATTTAATATCCCTAAAGCCACCTTTAATATCCCTAGAGCCACCTAAAGCTAGTCAGTAGCGATACCTGAGAATGCAGGTCTGCCCACTGTCTGCTTTGGCATGTTGAACTCAAGGCTGTAGAGGGATGTCTTACCCACTATGCTTCCATAGCTAGGAATTAACTTCAGAAGGCAAGTAGCTACTAATTTTCAAATCACTGAATTAAGCAGGAGTCTGCATTTTAAAATTCAACTGGAGAAATTGGGTATGGTGACAGCCTGGGACTTAACAGCGTTTTCCTAGAAAATGAGAGAGATTTTAATGTCTATTTTTTATGAGATTTCAGTAAGAAATCTTAGACAGATGAGAATCAGTGCAGTGCATGCCTTTCTTCCCCTCATGACCATTGCAGAAGCTGTAGTGTAATCCCTGAAATCTTTCCTGTGAACCAGCAACTTATTTCTTCTCGCCAGCTGCTATACATTTATTGCACAAAATGAAAGTCTTTGTGCTTTGTATGGAGTGAAGTAAATTTTACTCATTGGAAAAAAAAAGTTAGTGTTTGAATTTGCATCATAATATTTGTATCTGAATAATCCACATAGTGTTCTATAAAATAAAGGAGCAGGCTGAGCGAATATAATACCTCTATTTGGAGGGAGTGTTTTAAGAATACTTGTTTTGAAAGATGTAAATTCATTTCTAGTTGTTCATTTTTCAGGGTCAACAGATTGCATATGCTATTCTACAGTTGGTATTTCTGATCCAGTAACATCAGCTCTACATATTATTATAGGTGGGTAATCACAGTTCCCTGTTCTGTTATGAAAACAATTGAAATATCCTAAAATAGTAATTTTATTCAGTTCTTTCTTTTACATGTCTGTGAAAAAATATTTTAATATAATGAATACACTAAGATCTCTGTTTAGGAATATATATGATATGACATACAGGAAGGTTAAAAATGAATTGCTTTTTCTACTGCAATTCACTATTTTCAGGGGATCGTAACTTTACAAAACTTTGTATCTACTGCTTAAGTTTTCATGGACACTGGCATGCATAAAATGTAGAACAAAGTAACTATGGTAAGTTACTGGAGTTATGTCTCTCAGAGAATGTTATCATATCTGTGTTTATTTTGAATAGTAATATTCTGTACTAATTGCCCAGTTGTGCTGTGCATTTTCCTGTTTTTACAGCAAGTTAAAAACGTGTCTTCTGCTTCATGGGAATTAGCTGAATAGCTCAGCTGAAAGGAGCTGGTTTCTCCACTTACATAAAAAGACTAAAGATATTTAACATTTGTAATAGTTACGAGGAGGTTTTCAAGAGGATGGAGCCAACCTTTTCCGATGAGCATCATGGAGACAGATGAATCAAGAGATATTCAAACTGATTCAGATATAAAGAAAAACCTTTCACCAGAGGATGTCAAGCAGTAGTTAGAAAGTAATGCCAAGCAGATGACTGTCCACAGGGGGCTTTGCAGTCTCTGCCCCAGATGTTTTCAAGACTTGGTTGAGTAAAGTCCTAAATAACCTGATCAAGAGATGACCATGCTGTGAGCATGACATTGAACTAGAGATTAAGGCCCCTTCCATCCTGAGTTTTCCCCAGGTTCAATGAAATACGGGATTCAATAATACTCAAAAGTTGTGCTGATGTGGTTTTGATTTCTTCTCTTACGAAATTCCCTACTATGACTACACTGTAAGCAAGTATAAAATAAATCAACATTATAACAAGTATTACATATTTTTAGTATAACAGTCCTTTTCACTTATTATTTAATCCTCTTTAAGTGTTACTAGTCTTCAAAAATACTTTTCCTCTTTCTGTATGTGTGTCATAAGGGAACAGTCAGGAAAAGAAGTCTATAACATGGAAATCACTATGTCCTGTTTGTCCTGTTTAAAACAAAATCTTAATAGAACCTTGAAATTATACTCTTTATAGGTGACTCTCAGCCTCTGGATGTCTCCTCTGTACATCATAACAACACATTTTTGAAGTACACTGTGTCGTTGTTGGGTTATGGTTTTTATGGAGATGTTTTGAAAGACAGTGAAAAAAAGCGGTGGATGGGACCGATGAGATACGATTATTCAGGTAATTTGTGGATATATTACAACCTTTTGTCTGTATTTAAGCATATTGGAACAGTTGATACTTTCTACCTAAATCACGTTTCTCCAAAGCTTTTAAACATAAAAGCCAGATGGAACATGATTTTACAGTTCTGCTTGTACCAAGCACACGTGAGACACTGTATCCTGGGGATATCGTTAGTAATGTTATTAATGTTAGTAATTAAAGTTATGTGGAAATCAACTGTTTAGCAGTATTAACAGTTTAATGAGTTAATATTTTCACTGTTATATGAGCCATACCATAAAAAAGTTTAGGTTGAACTGTAATAAAATGATAGTTACTACATTTTTCATATTGTGAAAAGAACCTTTGTTTTAATCCTTGAGGTTGTTGGAAGCAAACCTAATCCAAATTTGATTATCATTAATGTATATAATTGCTAGCACTGTTCTACATTGCTAATAGGAATGTATTGATAGTTTGCTAATAATAGGTGCCTAAAAAGTAAAAGTTTTAAAATGTGAAAACTGTTAACTTGAGGAAAGCCACTCTAGTTCTGCAGTTCTTGGAGAGGGAAAGGGAGGAACGACAGAGAGATGTATGCAGAGATGTTTGCAATGTGGATTTATAATAACGTAATGCTACTTAATACCTTTTCCTGTAGGCTTCAAGACTTTTCTTTCTCATCATTGCTATGAAGGAACAATTTATTTTCAACCAGCAAAACACACACAGGGATCTCCACGAGATAAAGATAGCTGCAGAACAGGGTAGGCTAATGTTTATTTTTGGATATTTGACGTGAACTGGTGGAAAAGGCCGATAAGTAGGAGGTTAGAGCAGTTTTGTTTTTCTAGTATCAAAACACTTGCCCTACAAGAGACAAGCCTTTTTTTTTTAAAAAAAAAGCTAGATTTCTTAACTAAAGAGAACACCTTATTTTAGCAGGTCAATAAAATAAAAAGATCTCTTCCTCCAAGCCCTGTCACAGACCGAGGGTCTGATACTGTGTTACTGCTAATGAGTGAGAAGACTGGACACCTCATAGCTTCAACAAATAAAATAATTATTTAAAGTTGCCCAAATATTGACGTATTATCGGGGTCAGCAATTTTGGTAATTGTTTTAATGTCATGACAACAGCTTGTTTTCCTGAGGATAGATCCTTTCAGGAATCACTCCCTATTTAAACATTTTTATGGACTACCAATACCCTATGCAAATCGTGTCTAATGATGTCTATTTCTCCAATGAGATAGCCTGATTAAATCTAGCCTTTTTTTACATTTCTCTTTGCTGGTAATTCCTTCAAGTTGTGCATTAGTATTTATTCTCCTTTATATGAACAAAGCCAACAGGCCAGAAGGAGGGAGTACCTGGTGACTCTCCCTGGCGCTGGGCCTGGGGGTAGTGGTAGCCTTACCTCTAGAAGATGTGTTTTGGTCAAGAAACAGAGTTGTCAGATGAAGAAAGGAGGTGAGCAGGCAGCCTAGCATCAGAGAGAAGGAAGAGTAGAAGGAAATGGTCTTTGCAGAGACCCTGCAGGGGTGAGAGCCTAAATCCTGCTGATCAGCCTGTGCCTGTCAACATCTGATGTCAAAGGCAGAACTTTTGCTCTTATTACCATGGCATATTCTCAGAGGAACAAGTACTGCAAGGGAGGAATGGGATCCATCTGACAAAGCAGGACAACCTTTACAAGCAGGCTTTCTAACCTAGTGAAAAGGGTTCAGACTGAGTGTATAAGGGATGGTTACCATACTGCAAGAAGTAAATAAGAGGACCCTGAGAAGGTAGCTAGGAGCAAAAAGGCTCCCCATCTGAAAGCAGTTTGACTGAGGCTCCATCTCAAATGTGTGAACACATGCAACATAGGAAATGAAAAAGAAGGATTAACAGTCCATATACAGTGGCAGAAGTGTAATCCCACTGACATTGCATAGAGGGGACAGGATTGCTCACGTCAGGGCTGCGTGGATACAGCTTCTTCAGGGAGAGAACGGAGGCTGTGCCTTACCCAGAGAGACAGCTCCAGTGCACACAGCTTTGCCTCGACATGGGGAAGAGCTTGCTAGGTGCTTATGGGGAAGGATCAGAGAGCAACCAACACAGATGGCAGTGGGTGCATCTGCTACTGACACTGCATCAAAAGGAAAAAATAGATGAAAATGCCTCAAGGTGGCTAGAGGAAGTTTCATGAGTGCAGACTCTAGTATTTATTGGGGAATTTTATCCACTCTGATAATTGCTAGAAGTGCACTAGGACTAGGCACAAGCAATCTGGGAGATTTCCACAGAGCATTGATGACAATCTCCATCCTTGGAACCACTCAAAACTTGACCTGTGAAGCAACTTAATCTCTTTGGACCTGCTTCGAACAGTTTTGAACCTCCAAATTACATGGTTTTGTGCCACTCTGAAATGTTATTTCTCACCTCTGGAGGCCTTGAGCACAGCACTTAGTTACCTGCACTGCTTCCAGGGGTATCGTGATTAGTGTCATGTCAGGGTCACCTGTGCCGTGGTTGTGGTGGGGAACTGTCTCATAATGATTTGAGTAAGACATGGCAGAATTTAACTGAGTATGTTTGTTTTCAGATGTCACATTTGCAGGCAAAGTGAGCAACAGCTGGCAGAAGAGCACAAGAAATGTGGATTAAAACATGAAGGTAATTTTTGACAAAAAGTGGGGTATAGAGGATGTTTTACACCTCTAGTTTTATATGACCTATTTGTTATACAACTTTATAACACATATTGGCTTAAGTGTGAGGGTTTTTTTCCTCCAGACTTTATTAATTAACAGATAATGCATCATTTCTTTTAAGAAAAATATGTAAGTAAAAAACGATAGTAATATCAGTGTCTCCCCAAAATCCCAGGAAATTCTAGTAATACTGTACTAGTTACATGTAAGTTCAATGGTTCTTCTCTTGCAAACAAATATGTTCTGTGAGCAACGATTTTTTAACCTTAAAAACTAGTAGTATTTAACTGACTCGCTGTGAACTACTCTAGAAAGAAGCAGTTCATTTAGCTTTTGAAACAGATGGGGTTTAAGATTTGTATATGTTAGCATAAAAGTCACCCAGGAAAGTTGTTAAACTTTATCCTCTCTCCCCCATTCTGACCCTTACACTTCTGTGAATTTTTGTATGGGCCTAACTTTTATATTAAACCACTGTTTTATGCAGTAGATTCTGCACTGTTGTTCTCTTAGCTGTGTCTCTGCCTGTCTTATTGCTGCTTCCTGACTTAAAGCACAAGTCTCGGTTCACTTGAAGCCCAGCAGTTAAATATGCTGCTTCAGTTGGCAGAGTTTAGCCTCTTATTTTACTTTGGCTTCTTGGATAAATCCTCATAAGCAGCAGTCATCCTTCCCATGCTTATCTTTACTCTAATTCTTTTTTTTTTTCTTTTAGAGCCCAATACATAAACGCTAATTTTCATGATTCGAGCATTGTTCTAATGATCTAGATTGCCTGGTAATTGCAGTTATTTTATATAGCATCTGTGTTTGTCTCTAACCATTTGTTAGGGAAGAAAAGAGAGTATCATCATTCCATGGATATTCTTTGGTAGCATAAAGCCTGTATATAGATTTCTATATTAGCTTTAATTCCTGTTACACATGCTTTTTATATTGCATTCAGCTAGTATTTTCAGTTCTTTGGTATAACTAACAGATGGCTAGATTAAAGTGTTTTTTGATTTGTATTAAATTCGTGCCCAGATACAGCCAAAGAATACTTTAAATAATACTTCCTCAGGAACTAAATCTAATAGTAGGGGTTTTACAAGAAAGAAATTGTATTGTCTTTTGAGAAATAACTATAGCTAGAAATAGCCAGGTTTTTTTGTTTGTTTTCTGGATTTTTATTTTTATTAGGAAATCTGTATTGTGTTGCTTGTAATCAAGTAAAGGGACAAAGGCTGAAGTAGGAGAATGAGATGCAGGTTGGTGAGCAATCGAGGCTGCTCTGCCCAGCATATCACAGGACATCAGGAAGTTGCTTGTGTTGGACACTGCCTGCTTCACTCCATTTTTCTTTCAGGAATAAGCTCTCTTTCCAACCTCCTCGCCATGCAGTACTGGAAGGAGAACAGTAGTAAGCCAGTACTCTTTATTTGCAACAAAAAGGATTTAAAATCACCACCTTTGCTAAACTTTTTACTCTACTGATTATATTGGATAAATCTCTCATCATTTCTGCTTTGTGTACAGTTCTGGTATGTGTAGAAGTGCTTGCATTGACTCTCAGGATGTTTCTTTGTACTATGCAGAAATCTTTATGCATGCACTGAGCAAACTTTGAGTGCTGGCACTTCAGGCTGATGTCAGCAGTTTGCAATACACACACACCAGACAGTTGCAATGAGTGCTCTATGTCCTCTCCTTTTTATTACTGCTCCACCGTTTGAAAGATATTTGGGTGCTCGGTTTGTTTTATAAAAGTGTGATGCCCCATACCGAATGGCTATGCAGACAGTTGGTCAAGTCACGTGTCATAGATACCCAGATTCTGTTCTTACTGATAAGTGATCCCCTTTGCTGTAACATGCTGAGATCTGTACAGAGTTTGATACTTTTCCACCATGTGAAAACTATTACAGTAATATATACAGGTATTCAACTTTGTATACATTGAGAATTAGTTACGACAATGAGTATTCTCAAAATTTTAATATGTATTTAGACATACTGTAGACTAAAATATTAATACTGCTCACATAAACAGCAAAAATATTCAGCAATAAAGAGTTGTTTTCATTGTGGTATTTGCATATTGGAGCAAATTTTTGCAAATTTCTTCTAAATATTTTATAAGAAAGCATATGCATAGTTCTGGCCGTAGAGATGTCTGCCAAGCTTTGCCTGTGAAGTAGATTTCAATGTTGCAGTTAGTTGAGATTGGCCCATTAAATCTGCTCAAGGTAGCAGAATCCAGTGGACTTGAAGATACAGGGGGATCCCTCCCCTAGCCCATCCCAGCTGGATACAAGATTGTAGCTTTTCTTGTTTCCAGATCCAGACAGTGGCAAGGCTGAGCATGATTTCCCAGTAGGGAATCACAGATAAACAGTATAGACCTGGTTGACCCCAGACAGACAACAGATCAGTACAGACAGATCAATCCCTTTACAAGCACCCCTGTAAACACAAACGGGATCCACATAAAGCATGGACACTGTATAGTCCCATCTTGTTCCTCCTGTGATCCTCGTCAGGGCTAAAATTTGCTGGTGGAAGTGATCATGTGGTCCTCTTGCTGCAGGAGAACAATCATTATCAGGGTGTCTCACAGATATTAGCAAGCATTTTAAATCTGTCTGGTATCCATACCCAGGTTAGATGCTTCAGTTTTAGTTTGGTGTTTGTTTATTTGTTTGCTTTTCCCCAGGTGCTAGCATCCTACTTTCCAGGTGGTCCAATTTGCACTTTGCGGGCAGAACACACGTTCTGTTTTTCATCTCATGTGTTTGGGTCCCTCCAACTTTGGCCTGGGCTGCGCAGACCCCAGGCCTTGTTAGCCAGTCTGCAGCATCCAGCCTTTGATCTTTACAGATTCTGGTCTAACCACTGGCTCTTCCAGGACTAGCACATCACACATATTGAATGGAGAGCAAAGGAATAAGTTTAATAAGAAAATGGAATAAACTGCAGCAATGAGGTGCAAGACTTGGCCAGACAAGCGTACTGATCAACAGCCCCTTTTACATTGTACATGCTTGTCCTTCCTGATCCACCAGGATCCTTCCTTCAGTCCACCTTAGTGCCTTCCAAAATAAACAACTGTCCCTGATTACAGTTTTGTCATTAGCTTCAGTTTTGCTACATCTGTACCCAAATTTGATATTTCTGATACCGTGTAGATGTACATATGGTATGTACAGAACATACCATGTTCTGATACCATTATATGTAGATAATGGCAACTCTGTGTGATACTAGTGATAGTTACATGGGAGCTGTTAGTCTTACAAGGTTCAGCTCCCCAGGTTATCCTTACAAGGTTCAGCTCCCCAGGTTATCCTCAGTGCTTTTCTTCAGTTCTCTGCACAGTTTGGCTGTCCAAATCCCCCCATGAAATCCATGCTCATGTAGCTTCTGTCAGCTCCTCTAACTGTTATCTGTCATGTCCCAAAATTTCCCGTGTTACATCCAGTGATTTGTCATGTTCTGTTCGATTAACTCTATCTCAGAGCAGGGCCTTGTCATTTGCCTGCAGCCTGAGCAAAGTCTTCTCCAGGCTGACATATAAATCTGTTTTCTGTTCTGTTACGATGTGTGTTTTAATTTGAGCCATTTTTTCTTTCTGTACTGTCCTGTTCAAAAGCAACATTAAAGATCAGCATTGAAGCAAATATAATTGATATTAAAACCACTTTGGTAAATGATGCGAAAATTTGAATTTAGCAAAGCAGCATTTTGTTTGATTTCTTACTGATCTGTTTTTTTTTTTTTTCAGAAGATAGAGCATTTCTCTAGATGGAAAAAGAATAAAGTTTTCTAATCTTTAAGTTTTCTATCACTTCATAATACCACACTACTGTTTCTTGAATTCCATTGTTCTTGGATCTTTTGCTGAAGAGTAAGTGGGTAATAAGAGGCTGCAATAAATAAAAAAGTCAAGGACACTAGAAAAGTTCAAATAGCAAAGAAGAGCTACAGAATATTTTCCAGGATTTTTCCCCCCATGCACAGCTTGGAAAAGATGGTTCAAAATGAACCCATGGAATTTATGTCCAACTTCAACATTTTCTAGGAGTTTTTAATAATGATTCTCTAAAAGTGAAATTCCAGAACTAAGTAAAGATTCTTAGAATTTCAGGATATATGATAAATATGGCTTATATATCATCTATAGTCTCATCAAAGAATCTCTTTGAAAGTGTGATACTGGATTTTTAAGGCCCTGATAGCTAGTAAGTCTCATAGTTTGATCAGACTTGTTAAGTGTATGTAAAGGAACTTTGTTTTGTTTGTTTGTTAATTTTACTCTCACCATCTGTAAAGGAACTTTACTCTATAGCAGTGGTCTTACTGCTACTTAGAACCATGTGCATCACCATAGACTTTTCTGAAATCTTTAGTTCAGTGAAATTGTTCATTATAAATATCTTGAGTCCACTTTACATATGGAGGAGGAAAAAAGTGTCAGAGTTGCTTTTTGATTTTTTTTTATGTAATGAGAAAGGCAAATGCTTGTAATGTAAAAATGCAGAGGCTTGTTTTTACCTGATACAAGAAAAAAAAATTTAAAAGTTAACTTTGTGTAGGGTCTGACAGGTCTTTGTTCCAGAAAATACCTCAGGCTCCTGGTAGTGTTTATGTCATCACACATTTAAGCTCAGTCTTGATGGAATCTCCAATTGCATAGTTTAAACGTGGAGAAAATACTCTTCTCTATATTATTTCAGGAATCCTCAAGAATTTACATGTAGGTTCAACACTTTTTTAATAGTTTTAGTCTGCAGTAATTAAGATGAAGAAGAAAAAATATCAAAAAGCAAAAGTGAACTCGTGATCTGCTACATTCTGGTCCTTGGTGAACCCTGAGTCTTCTCCTCCTTTTCTGTCACTCTTTATTTAAATATAGCTTGCAGCTATGATCTTTCTCTGTCTTGTCCCTGCCCAAAGCTCTATACGTTTATACAGATAGCATCGATCCTGAACTGCACGCACCTATGACAGTAGTGAGAAGTTTTAGTAGATAAGCATGGTCTTTAAGAGGAGGAAGCATCTTCTTCTGCCAGTATATAAAAAAATGTTTTTTTCAAAGTAACTTTTACCTTAGCTGTGTATTGACAATGTAGGAAAATGTCTAGGAAATACTTGCCAAGAATTAATGCTTTGTACTTTCTTGTGCGTAGATCGATTGAACTATATACATGCTTTCATTTATGTGTTTCAGAAGATGAAGAAGAATGGAAGGTTATTAAAGGAAAATTTCTAGCTATCAATGCAGTAAATATGAGCTGTGCCTGTCCACGCAGTCCAAAAGGTCTTTCACCAGCAGCCCATTTGGCAGATGGTTCATCCGACCTCATTCTAGTTCGTAAATGCTCCAGATTTGATTTTCTGCGGTATCTCATCAGACACACAAACCAGGATGATCAGGTGTGTGTTCCCTTTGGCTGTGAATTCTGCACACTGTGTAAGTTGCAACTAGTGAATTTTTATATGATGCAAAGGTAACTACAATGCAGATTTCAAAAAATACTCATATATTTTGTGTGCGTTAATCTTATCATAGCCAAATCCCACCCTTGTTTGAATTAGGTCTTATGACATTTTCCAGGTATTGCTGTTTGGATGCTACTTAAAATGAGTGTAATACATAAGATGCACTTGTACTTGACAAGGAAAACATAGCAAAATTATATGAAAATCAGTGATGTGGGCAGTGAGAATATTTCACTCTTTGTAAAATGTATAAAATATGTGGTTTAGAATATACTTATCAGAACTGCAATTTTGTCATGAACTGCAGGCTTTCAGCAGTATTTAATGCATGTAGGTGACCGTGACATGGTCATTATGCATTCAGCTTCAAAATTCTTCTTCACGGATGTCACTACAGTTGTCAGGATAAGCAATAAGGAAAGATTGACCAGTGAGTTTGAGTTTAGTGTCTGTTGAAACCATAGCTATGGTTTCAGTGATATGTAGTGGGATGCACTTACTTGATATTTGTCACAGCTTGATGTTATTAAAGTCTTTTGGTGATTGTCTGAACAGTAGAATTAGGGCCTATCTAGTTACAAAAGTGATAATTAAATTCACCTACTGTTCATGTTATTACTCCTGCTCCATAAAGGAGTTGCTAGAGCTTCTCCTTTCTGTAGTTCCTCATACCTTGCATTTTGTGTATGCTGGTATATCGCCTCTCAAATTTATTCTTCATCTCCTCTTCATCCCTTCATTCCTTTCCACTTTTCCTTGCTGTATCCTCAGTAGTTTTTGTTATTTAAAGCCTCCTGCAACTGCCCTCCCTATCTATTTCATTTTACCAAAATTGCAACTAAGCTCTTCGTACTGGCATGCGTAGTGAGCCTTGCTATATTTGAGCCACTGCCAATTTGATTGTTCCTTTAATTTATACAGTCCATTTTAAAGCATATGTATAATATCATTATGTAATCCTGCAAACCTCTGTTAATAAGGGCGATCTTTTAATTGCCCTACTTATTTCTAGCTGAATTAGCTTGTTAAAGTGATTTTATTTTGTTGGAGTGTAATAGTACTCTTGCTTTCCTACACAACTCAGCTCTCTAATATGATTATACTGCCACAGAAGTCTTTGATTACGGCAGTGTTTGCTCATTTTAAGGGCATTATTCCAAAAATTATTCCAAGGGCATTAAGGGCTTGCAGAAAAGCCTGCATGCCTTAAGGAGTGTAGTTAAACAGGTCTTGAGGAAGATACCAAGAGACCAATCAAAGCCTTTTGGTCTTTATGGTTTCATCATAAAATACCTATTTATTCATAGTTTCAGTTACCTGAATATGTATAAAATGGTAGCTACTTAGAAAGTATCATTGAAAAGTCCAGTTACACTTAGACTTAATTTTTCTTAGACTTATGTAGTCTTTTAAAACAAAAATCACAGTGTATCCGAGCCTCTCTAGAAGATTGGAGAGGTCAGACTTTCTTGAATACAAAATGCTGCTTTGCTGAGTTCTTCTACATGTCAAATATATCCAGTTAGTTGTAATTGCTTGTGTTGATTTTTTTTTTTTTTTTCCTTTTTCTTTGTAGTTTGACTTCTCATTTGTAGATGTTTATCGGGTGAAGAGTTTTCAGTTTACATCAAAGCTTTTGGAAGACAATGAGAGTGATGTCACGGACATAGGAAAGAAACATTTTGGCCAGTTCTGCAGAGATCATCCAGCCTGTTGCTGCAGTATTGCTAATAGCACCTGGAATTGTGATGGAGAAACTCTGAACAGCTCAGCAATTGAAGTGAGGTGAGCTCCTGTTTTCCTCCAGGTGTACCAGAAAAGGTATTAAGCCTTTTCTGATTTAGAGGTAAATATATCCCTGCATAGAAAAGATGGCCCTGCACAGCAAATCTGAGTCTACTATAAAACTACATTTCTGTAACTTTTCTGAAAGACTATATCAGCTGTGTATTGAAAATGATCCCCCCGAGATATCTGTTCATACATACATATGCATACACATGCATATATACTTATATACAACATATGCATATATAGGTATATAAATATATATAAAATAAAAATGTGGCCCTACTTTTGAAATGAGCATTGTATGGGCTTCAGCAAGTGTTGAATTTAAGGAGTTACTGTTAACTCCTACTATTAACTCCTATTGCTATGAATCAAATACCTCCTTACTCGGAGCACTAGTTTTATCTTCTAAACTAGTTTTTATTCTTTTTTTTTTTAAAGCAATAAAAACGACCTGATGGATGCTTCTGTAATAGGTTAATCATTTGGAAGGCCTGCTAGACCACCCAGTAAAACTCAGTACAAGTATTTATGGTTATCAATATTTAGAAAAAAAACTAGCTCAAATCTTAAGTTTCTAACCTTGCACAACTCTGAGAGAGTTCTAGAGATTTCTAAAAATTTCAAAATTTCTGTACGAGGTCTGTAAGAGATGTGAGTATTCACAGCAATATTTTCAGTTTTCCTATATAAAATATTTAAAACTGTATTATTAAAAAAGGACTAAAATAATTAAAAGTTAAAAAATAAAACTTTAAAAAATTAAAAACATAGACAATACTTTAAGATAAACAATTGGCTCTTTAACAGTACTTCTCACATGGTTTATAACATAGGTCTATTCCTAGGAATAGAAGTACACATCAAAAATGGCTGACTTTAGTTAGTTTTAGGAAGAATATGAAAGTTGATATCAAAGTAAGAACCATTTCAGAATATTCTGAAATATTCTGAATATTCATTTCAGAATATTCTGAAATATTCTGAAATATTCTGAAATATTCTGAAATGGTTCTTACTTTGATATCAACTTTCATATTCTTCCTAAAACTAACTAAAGTCAGCCATTTTTGATGTGTACTTCTATTCCTAGGAATTATTCTAATTGGAGTTGAAAGATTATGGGTTTCATTATTTAGAAAAACTACATATACTGTCTGCAAGACTGGAATCATTGTCATTGCTTTTTTACAACAATCTTTCAGCAGAAATAATTGGTGTGACACTTATTTTTTAGCTGTTAAAAGAGCTGTTTAGTTTTTTGTTCACAGTCTTACCTTGGCAAATGGAGAAAGACATCTACAGATGTAAAAACAAATTTAAAAAAGATGTAAAAACAAATTAAAAACCACAGTAGTATGTGAAATTTTAAGCAAATTTAAGCATGAAAAATACAATGCAAAATATTTATATCCAAGAATTTTCAGCTAAGACAAAATTTCTTAACAGTCCAAAGTGATTTGTGTAAGCACAAGAGTACATAGTACAAGATCCTCTCAGTTAAGTGTCCATAGAACTTTCTCTGTGGAGGAGTACCAGGAGAAACAAATTCATCAAGCATCTGACCTTCTTTACTTCTTAATTAAAACGTACTCTGATCATTTGATTTCCTTGTTTTTCAGGGTTCACTGTCAGCTAATGAAGCTATTTGCAAGAGGTATCGAGGAAAACTGCAAAGAAGCAGCCAGCAACCAGAGTACAGTTGAGCAATTGCTATAGATACTGTTCCTCGAATGGGGAGAAGAAAAAATAAAAGCTCAAGGAAATTGAGTAAATATGCATTTTAGTCAAATTGACAAGTATTTTAAAATTTGAATTTTGTTTTTTGATAGATTCAGTATAATTTTAGACATTTTATTTCATCTGTGTATTTTTTAAAAAAAAGTCATTAAAATGCATCATGGAGTAGCATAATCTAAGTTATGTATGTTGGAGAACAGAGGATTGGTGTGTGTATATATTCACAATAATGCTGTATGCTTTTTTAGAGAGCTAATTTAGCAGTTGCATTGCAATAATACTTAAATGCTATGAAATACAGGATTTCCCACTGACATCAAGACAAGGTAGAATCTGTGTCCATGAGGATGTTCTTTGCTGGATTCCATAGTGCAAATGACTTAAATGCTGGAAGTTACTATTGTCATTTACATCATTTTATTCTTTTCTTTTTAAGTCAAGTTTTTTGTTTTGTAATTCTGTCTATACTTTGCAACTTATCAATGCAATTCAGAGATGCATTCCTGGCTTTAAGTAAGAAATAATAACAGTTTAGAAAAATTTTGAAAAAATGCACATGAGTATATACATCATACCTTATATACCCTATTTATAAGTGCTTCCTTGCATGCTACTTTTGGAGTAATAGAGGGGTTTTATGACTGTTTGACTGATACCAAATACCACACACTGCAACTGAAATATCTTGCAAGAAGTTCTTGGGGAAGTACCAGGAAGGAATAGGCATGGGAAAAATTTTAAATGTACTTCAAAACACCAGCATGATTTACATTTTAAAAAACTCTTATATTTAGCATATGAAAAGTTACCCTCTTCAGTAGTTATTTGGAGATTGTTTTACATACCTTCAAATATCTTTGCAAAATATGATGTTGGGTTGTTAAGTTAAAAAAAGATTTGATGAATCAAAGTGTTTTAGATAATGTTTTAACTAATTATGAAAAAACCCTATGCATTGTGAAGTCAAGGGAAGAACCTGGAATCTGATAAATCACATTTAATATGCTGATATTTTTTAATGGCAAAAACAGATTATCCTATACAGCTATGAAGTGATTATTTAAATTGTTAATTTGTGTATTGTAACATGCGTACGTGCTTGGGGCTGTGTTTTGCTCTGATTACACAAATTAATGCCTGCTTGGTAAAGATCAGAAGTTAGCCCTGGCTCTCTCCTAACTTTTTTTAATTTTTTTTGAAGTATGTATATCTCTGTAAAAATCACTACATCTGTTTTCTTGCATTTGAAAGCTTATCAAGTATATTCATGTATATTTATTGACACTTGTGTCATTCAGTTTGTCTTAGTTTCATGTCTCCTGTATCTCTCTCTGTGTAAGCCGTGACGATTGGCCAGTTCATTACTGAAGCACTTAAAAGGGCCGTTGGAATAAAAGACTTTTTTTTCCACTGAAAAGATTTCCATTCCAGTCTTGTATAATATTAACATGATGTGTTATATCATTGCTTCAAGGTATTCATACTGTTGTATTTGATAAAACACATGCAAATGATTTTTGCTTAAAGTACAGTAATACAAAGTTTGGAATCTGTTTTTCATTATATATATTTCAGGAAAATACTTGAATACTTTTCCAAAAGTAGTGCTGTTTACTGTCTTCTTTAATGCAATGAGTTGAAATGTTGATGAGTCCAGTGTTTTTCAGACAACATAAAAATGTTATTTATGCTGTATTTTAAAGTCTTATTTAGTAAATTAAACATTTATTTGAACTAAGAACTCCACTGAAAATTAAATTATGCAGTTCTGAAAAGGAAACATTTCGTAAAACTCTGACCTGTTTAAGAAGTTCTACAGCTAGTTTGGACTATTGGTGAGTTTTGGGAAAGAACCCAGATTTCAAGTTGTTTTAATTCTTGGATGGCATACGTACGATACATTAGGTGTGTGCTTAGCTCACCAGCAGATGACATTTATGAAGCACTGCAGCTGTCCAGATCATTTTCTCAATTCTGAGATCAGAAATAATTACCAACAACCGACCTCATTAGTTTACTAGCAATTTCTGAGGCTCGTATTTGGAAAAAGGGGAAGTTAATGTAGCTGTGAGTGTTGGCTGGAGAGCTGTGAAGATCTTCAGTACCTGAAGCTGTGAGCTTGACCTTTCCAAAGAAACCCACAATGAAGGTCCTGTCCTGAGAAACAAGCCACTCGGAGGGAAGAAAAAGGGGGTTCTGCAGTACGACAGTGAAGTGTAAAGAAAATAATAAGCGTGATGCAACGTAAGAAATGTCTTAGTAGGCAAGGAACATAGTTGCATTTGAATAATTCTATCTGTAGCATGACAATAAAGTATTAAGTAAATACTAAGGACATTGCAACATAGGAATAAAATGTCTTAGTAGACAAGATATATAGCTGTATTTGAATAATACTGTCTGTAGCATATTATAGTAACAAAGCACTATATGTGAGATGTATGATATGTCCAGTTTATTTTTAAAAGAACTGCATAAATAATGTCTGCTTTTCTTTTAAATCCTGTCTTGTCCTCTGGATGTAGTCTCAGTATGGAAACAATGGATGGGAACACCAGGTTTGACTTTGTTTTTTTGCCCCTGAATCTTGCTGGCTACAAGATTAGAAAAAAATGTGTTTTGTTTTATGAGGCTAAATGAATTCATTGAAAAAATAAAATTGAAATTATGTTGTACAGTAATTCTGTGGTTTTTGTCTTTTCACAAGTTGATTTGAAAAAATGTAGATCATCAAATATCTTCCTGATAAAGATACTAGTCTTGGTATCAGCAAAAAAAGGTGCAGATTAAACCAGGCAGTGAAGTAATTTTTAAGCTTCCCTTTGGATTGGCTGGAACTTTGTAGCAAGTGTGAGTGCAAATGATACCAATCATGAAGGAAAGCAACTAGTGAACTTACAGACTTGTAAGAGAATTAGCCAAAAAGTTAAGTAACTAGCTATGTAAGATAAAAATGGAGAGGGAGAAAGAAATTTAGTTATAATGCAAGTATTTAGATTTATAGATTATGTAAAAACTCTAAACTACAAAAACCAAAACTGTCATTCTAAGGAGCATGAACAATATAAATAGGACCTACTATATGTCAAAAAGATGTCTTTTTAAAATGTCACTGTAATAATTGTTATTACAGTGCATTTACTATCAAGAAGTGAAATGGTCTTCTGGATGGACAGGGGGAACATGATGGGATATACTTTTCAACACTTGAGATATTTATTCTCCTAAAGTTATGTAACAAGCCACTGTTGTAGACATGTCGTACAGCTTTATAAGAAATTCATGTTTATTAATCAACTGGAAGATATTATGTAGAATCAGAAATCCCAGAATGGTTGAGGCTGGAAGGGACCCCTAGAGCTCATCTAGTCCAAGCCCCTGCTCCAGCAGGGACACCCAGAGCACGGGGCACAGGGCGGCATCCAGGCGCCTTTGGAAGATCTCCAGAGAAGGAAACTCCACAGCCTCCCATTGGCAGCCTGTGCCAGGGCTCTTGCACCCTCACACCAGCAAGTTCTTCCTCACATGCAGATGGAAGTGCGTGGGGTTTAATTTGCAGCCATTACCCCTTACACTGTCACTGGCCACCACCAAGAAGAGTTTGGCCCCATCCTCTTCACATTCTGCCCTTGGGTGTCTGTACATATTGATCAGATCCCCTCTCAATCTTCTCCAGGCTAAACTCATTCACTCTTTCCTCATTTTATTCACATTAATTACTATTTCATATTTACAGGAGAATAGTTAACAGTTTACAGTTAACAATTTAACAGATTTTTAACTGTTAAGTTGCAGTAAATGAATTCTGTCCATAATGAAGTGACGGTCACCCCCAACATCTGCCTTTTCCTCTGAAACACATGTAGCATATACCTTGCAAAGGCTTATATATGTTCTTAATTAGTGTGAGGCTGGTCTAATTGATTTAGAGAGCATAGGCCTTTTTTTTATGCAAAGTTATGCCTTGCAGATGTTCTTAAATGACATGGCTAACATTTCACATTCTCTACCTTGCAGAAATAACTCTTTAGTGTGGAAAGAAGAATGAAAGAAAAAATTGTAAAGGAAAATAGTTGAAGACTAGGTGTTTTTTAAGCAGAAGTCACACACATTCACATGCATACTTGCATGGTCACACAAAAGCACAAAGACTGATAGTCAATCCTGGAAAGAGCAAAAAGAAATGCAAAGGAAATTTTCAAAAGAGGAAAAATACAATAAAAAGAAATAAGAAATGTAAAATACAAAATTTCTGTTTTGTTTTTTGTTTCTTAGTTTTTACTGGAGTGCATTACCTGGTCATGTGTACTTTAAAAGCATGGGAAAATTGGCACTAAAGTTTTGAATTGATAGCCAGAAGTTTGGCTGTTACAACTTGTAGATGTAATAAAAGCTTTATATCTGTTTTGAAGATATATTGCCAAAAGCCAATAATGGTCATCCTTTATACTTCTGCTCACAGACTTTAGAAAAACAAGCAGCATCACTAGCGTGGGTACTAATGGGGAATGGTAGAAGCAACTTCTTGAAATATTCTGAAATGGCTATTTAATCTGCCAAATACTCATTTTTTATGCTAGCATTTAACAACTGTGTTTCAGGAAGGAGTGACTGGCCAGCAAGAGGTAAGAAGGTTGGTAAGTCAGTCGATGCTTAAGTTCAGGCTGCATGACAGCATTTCACCCCAGCTAAGGATGTGTCCCTGTAACTCCCAGGATGGAGGATCTAAAGTCGTGTAAACCATCCTTTCCCATTTCATATATACATAGATATGCACCTATGCCATTCCTGGTTAATGTTTGTGAACTTTCAGAGATGTTGATACTTTGAAGAAGTTTAACTACCAGAACGGATGGTTTTAAGATCTTTAGAGTTACTGCGCTGCTCTGTCAAATGAATCATCCCCTCTTGCATTTTAGCCTTTTGTTCTATTCATAGTGGGCACCAAGAACAGCTCCTTCAGAGCAATCCCCTTACCCGTGTTGCTGTGTTC